AAGTTAATCTGTTCTTGTAAATGTTGGAGAAAAAACTGATTTTGATTTTCTATTTGGATGCTTGAAATATAGATGCACATCTGCACTGCATTTAGGGGGGTACATGTCATGCAATAAATCTTTCACCTAAGACACCTTTATGAATATAGATCCATTTCTTTTTTATGTGCATCTTGGTCTGACTGCTAAGCAGTACATTACAGTTTAAAGTATAGAGTCCTAGTTTACAGAAAGAGTTGACACATTTATACATGTTTTCATGAAGAAGTCAAATAATGTAATGGGAAAACATTGCTGTGAAAAGTGCATTCATTGTTCATGCAGGAATTGATATACTGTAAACCTTCATGTTTTCGCTGATAGTTTATTTTTCTCTGAGCTCTTTAAATAGTCAACTCGCAGCTATTCATTTTTGGCAGTTTTCTGTAATTCTTGAAGTATTTATATAAGGGAAGACCCAGGTTTTGCAAAATCATACCGATTTATATTTGTGTTATTTTTCTACTCACAAACATTTAGTTGGTTTACTGTTAACAAATATGTGATAGGAAGCAGTTTTGTGAATATTTTCTTTTTTTTTTAATGGTCAAAGTACTAACTTATATGAATAAAAGGAAATGTAGGGTATTCCTCAATGTGACAGCAACCTAAGATAAGAAAAAAAGGAATTTACAGGTCAGCACATAGTCTTCAAGAATAAAGTATTAATATAATAAGTGAAGCTCTTAACCACTGTGAGTCTAGGACAGCTTTGAATAAACCAAAGATTGGCTACATAGATCTGCTGTCAACCTGAGCTGTCAACAGTTCCCTAAATGACAAAAAGTATCAGGAAAAGACATACATGTACAACCATGAACAAGGTTCCTGACATGTGCCTTCCTATCTTTCTTACTATAAATGGGACATGTATTCAATTTAGATGTTAGGAAGTTTAATACAGACAAAATCTCCCCTGTGCAAAGGTAATGAGGCATGTAACAAATACACAGAAGAGATTTTGTTCAAAGATTGGTTAACTGTAAATTGTGGTTTGTGGTAAAATGAATTGTACATAAAAATGTCAGATATTTTGATACTAAAGAAAAACCTTATGGTTTAACCTGAGTAACCTAAGATATATGTAACAAATAAAAAGAAATTTCCTATCATTTAACCCAAATTTAACCTTAATTATATCATGTATATATGCTTGCTATTAATAAAAAAGACAACAGTATCATTTAACCCAAATTTATACTAAAATATCACAGTCACTTATTTCAGAGAATAAGGTGTATACAATTTGTAGGTTAAAAAAAATGTTCTGAGACAAGTGCCTGTGTAAAATTTATGTAATAATAAAAAAAAGGAACACCTATGGTTTAACCCTAATGTAACCTTAGATAAATTTGCCATTTAATACATGTAATTAATAAAGGTGAAATGCAGGGTATTGTACTGCTGACCATCAAACTGTATATTTAGTTGATATTTACCATGTAAACTTCCCATTGATAAAGTTATCAGAGAAATGATATACTGTAAACATTGAGTCATTACCTGCTACAAATTATTGTTTACATTCTATTTATGTTAAAAGTCACACCTGTATTTATACTTTATCTACACCTTTTTATAAGCTGTTTAACATATTTTGATATTTGGTGTAAAGCTTATTATGTAATGAAATTCCTTTGAGGTATATTACAGAAGGAGATGTCATATGAATGGGAATGAGACAACTATCCATCAGAGACCTAATGAGGAAGAAGTTAGCAGCTATAGGTCACTGTACGGCCTTCAACAATGAGCAAAACCATAACCGCATAGCAAGCTATAAAAGGCCCTGACATAACAAAATATAAAATAAAATTCAAATAAGAAAACCATCAGCCTGATATATGTACAAAACAGATTATGTATGCTTAGATATATTACATACATTAAAGAGACTTAAGTAACTTTATCACTCTACAAGTATGTATTTTAATACACTATGGCCATAGTGATGGTAGCATGCTTGTCTTACAATGTAGATGTGAGTGATCTTGAGCATCTTGAGTCTGATCCTGACCAGGATAAATCAAAAGTGTATTTAAAATTTGAATTTGCTACTCAGAGTCTCCACTAATAGCATATAAAGCAAAGACCCCTTAGAGTAGGGTTAATGTGTGCTGGCAGAGTCCCATACATGTCCTGGGGTACATTCCAACCTGCTATAAAAGTCACCCTTTATTTTAGCAAAAACCTGTCATGTTAGAGGATGACCTCTATATACAGGTTCAGGGGCGGATCCAGCCATTTTTAAAAGGGGGGGTTCCCAACCCAGGATAAAGGGAGGGTTCCAACTATATGTCCCCATTCAAATGCATTGATCGTCAAAAAAAAGGGGGGTTCCAACTCCCAGAACCCCCCTTGGATCTGCCACTGCAGGTTTGACAGATATTTCATCAAATGCTTTGTCTCTGTTCCCTCACAGCAATTTACAATGAGCCAATGCCACTTATCCCTATTTTTCTGCCATTTCTAGACTTCTCTAAAATTTTGAGGTCATCAGAGAAAAAGTCTGACACAACCAATGCAAAAGTGATTGTTGTATGACGTCAATAGTTCAAGTGTCACAAAACCTCAGGTCGTGTCACAGATTCCGTAAAAATTGATAAGGTCTATGCCATCAGCACCAAATTTTCAAACAATTCGAAATTGAATTTACTTAAATACTGAGAGCTTATCATGTATTAAAGAAAGCATTATGATGGTAAACAATATTAAGTTCTCCTCATCCTTAATATGCATAGAATATTTGCCACTGGACATTACCAATTGACATACATCATTCTATTTATTGTTTTAATACTTTTAAATGAAGAAAGTCTTATTTTCAGATTTCTGTTACAAATTAAGTTGAGATCATTTTGGATAAATCTTTCTGTAAATGAGTTTTTGTTATTTTTATGTTTGATAATTTGATTGCGATAATGCCCATGGGGAAAATCAAATTTAACCATTAAAAGTGACTAGATTCAAGGTGACCTCTATACATATATTTCATGTATTTAAGCATCAAGGGTATTCATGTAATAGCATACCAATGATAAAGTAAAAGAAATAAATTAACAAAATAGTAAAATTGGTATCAAAAAACATAAAATTGAGGAAATAATGTTTGCAAAGGAGTAGGTTCATGAAGGATTAAGATTGGCCTTAAGATTTTGATAATTTTAAAATCTGGCCAAAAAGTACAAAAGTTTTTTCCGTTACCATTTTTATAATCGTTTAAGGGAAAGTAAAATTTGGCCGGAACTATTAATCAAGAAAATTATAATATAAACTGTGGCACTTTTTGGTAACAGAACATTTTGTATCGCAGGTTGTAGCCAAGGTTTTCCTAAAGTTTTTAATGTTTAACTGAAGTTGGAAAATGGACAAAGTTTTTCATCAACATCTCCAAAAAATGTGCTGACTTTGAGGCCTATAATGTACTTTTATGAAGAGAGTTGTTTTTTCTCAGTGCTCAGTAAAGATTGTGAAATAGATCATCATATATAAATAAGAATCAAATTATTAACTTTTTAATAATTTATATTAAAGTTGAAATTAAAGGCCATATTATGGTAAAAGTGAAACTTTGTCCTTTAACATTTATGCAGTATTTTCATCCATACAGGAATCTCAAAATTATAGAAAATAGAAAGAATCTGAAGATTTTAAAAACAATCAGCAAACACAATCTTATTATTTAGTATGTAACCTTTAAGGAATTTAGACAGTTGTATGCATAATATCTGTACTGGCGACTGTTTCTAAAACCTATATGATATATGTATTTGATTTACCATAAATTTAGTATTTTATTGGATAGATAACAACCTAGATCTTTTCTAAATGTTATTTTTATTGAACCTTCTTTATCTTGTATCATTATTTGGATGTAATAAACCTCTTATTCTGTCTAAAACTAAGTAAAAAGATATTTATCCACTTGATAAACGGTAGGAATATAAATGAAAAGTTATCGAAAAGTACAGTATACTATTTGAATGAACATTTAGTTACAAAGAATATCTGTTGTATTAAATTCCATCTGCACTTAACTTAACATGAATGCATAGGGTGGTGCAAACTATGCACATTTAATCCGGAAACACTACTTCAATGTTTTGTGTTTTAAATAATGATGTCATTACTGAAATATTGATAGGAAATAGGTGGGTGAATCTAAGAAGTCATGTTTTTTGCTCTTTAATCAGTTTATAAGCAGACTTTGTAAATGTTTGTTTGAAAGTGGTTTCTTGAATATGTATGTATTGAACATAGTGATATATTGTTAAAAAAGATATAAAAAATTTAGTATAAATCTTGTTGATTTATGCATATATATTTATGTTTGTTTAAATTGATGATTCCATGGAAAAGCATATATTGTGAAAACAGAAATTATTGCAATGTTTATATTAATGCAAATAGTGTAACAGTATTAGGTTTGCAATAATAAAAACTTGCATTTATTCTCTCAGTAGTGTCAGATTTTCCTTCACAAAATGTTTGCAATTTGAAATTGATTAGATCTTGCATAATTTTACCAGTAATCAGTGATCTGCAATAACACATGCACACATTAATTTCTGAATTAACAATACTTGAATTAGTTTAACAACCTTAAATAGGCTGTATAAAAAATCATATGATCAGCAGGGTTAATTTTTAGGAAATGACCACTTGATTTTGTTTAATTGTCCATTATTTTATTTTATAATTAATGACAACATATTTACTCAGTATTGTTAAAAAAAAAGATGACTAACAGCAAAAAGTGTGAGAACAATAATGTTTTGACATGATGACCAATTTATGTCACAAAACAACAAAAATTAACTGATTTGTCCATAGATAATATTGTATAACAATATCCGTTATTAAGAATTGTATCTTTTTATCCCCAGGCCAAAAATATTAATATTAATCTACAACATATTTGAATGCAGTGGTTTAAGTATGAATATGTTTTATAATCTTAGGTGCACAAAATGTGATAAATGTTTGACTACTTGGTACTTTGAGAAAGATGGAAAGTTATACTGTAAAAAGGACTACTGGGACATTTATGGAGAGGCCTGCAATAGATGTGGTCTGGTGATAACTGGTCCAGTAATGGTAAGTTACAGTCTTTGCCGAAGTGCTATGGATTAGGCATGGAGGGTAAAATGTGTGTATTTAGATATGGTTGGTAAGGAAGCGTGAAAAGTCATTGTAAGTTATCTTTGCCAAAAGTACTTTTTGCAAGGCATGTGGATTGTCAGGCCTGCAATAGATGTTATCTGGATTAACTGGACCAGTAATGGTAAATTTAAGAGTCTTTGCCAAATACTATTGGATTAGTCATGGAGGGGAAAAGTCCAAGTATTTAGATGTGGTTGATAGGTAACTGGGCAAGTCATTGTAAGTTATCTTTGCCAAAAGTACTGTAAGCAAGGCATATTGATTGACAGGACAGGTATTTAGAGGCAGCAATAGATGTGGTCCAGTGATAGGTGGCAATCATACCAAGTATATGGTATTATAATCTTTGCTTAAGTATAATTGGGACATGCATTATGAGTTAAAATGCCTGAATTAGATGTGGGTACATAAAAATTGGGCCAGTACGTAGAGGCCTGCAGTATATATGGTTTGGTAATAATTTAAGGACATGTGTTCAGTGGCCTGCAGTAAGTGTAATTAATCTGGTTACTCTGGTGATAAGTCATAAAATGCAAACCAAGATGTACCCATCCAATGATTCTTGTAGCTTAAGTTATAAATCCATGTACATGTTCTATTATAGTGAGTTTCATAGATTATTTAACTTTATCTTAAATGATCCTACCTACCAAAGGTTAGTGCTTATCTCCAGAACTCAGGCTTCCTCAACCAATAAAAATTGCAATCAAAAGTAAAATAAACAAACCAAACCCCAAGGAAAATTCAAAATGGAAAGTCCCTTATCAAATGACAAAACAAAAGCTCAAACACATCAAACGAATGGAAAACAACTGTCATTATAATTCCTGACTCGGTAAGGCTTTCTTTGTATAGAAAATAGTGGATTAAACCTGGTTTTATAGCTAGCTAAACCTCTCAGTTGTAGGACAGTGCATAGAATTCCATGATATAGCTAAAGTGTGCTAAAAGTGGTGTCAAACACCAACAATCAATCATTCGTTTGCAATGAAACAGAAAAAAGAAATATAATGACAGAAGTTATTTAACTGCATTGTATTGATATACGCCTTATGATATTATTATACCCTCACTCTAAAAATGGGGCTATATTGGTATTATTTTGATAGTCTGTCTGTCTGTTCATCAAACAAATATTTTCGCCACACTTTTCTCAGGAATCACTGAACAGAATGACTTTAAAGTTCAGCAGCTTTACACCAGTTAAGCTGAAACGGGTGACCACTTTTCTCAAAACTAACAAACAAAATTACTTCATATGTGGTCAGCAGCTTATAAAAGTGAATGCTTTTTAGCTCACCTGGCAAAGAGGGCAATGTGAGCTATTGCCATCACTGGACATTCGTCATTACCGTCTGTCGTTGTCCTCATCTTTTTTTTAAAACTTTTTCCAAGATCTTATCCTCTGAAACTACTGAACTAAATTCAAACAAAAGTGATCTGAATGATCCCTGTGGTATCTAGTGTAAATTTTGTGTTTGTTATTCTGGTCAGTCAACAAACATGGCCACCATGTCCAAAAAAATAGAAAAAGGGATAAAATGCATTTTTTTGCTTATATCTCAAAAACTAAAGCAGTTAAAACAAACTTGACGAAGTAGAAATGATCAGCAAGTCAAGTTCTATTTATCAGAAAACCCAATCTTGAGTGATTGCCCCCTAGATAATATTTTTTATGAAATTTCACAGTTTTTAGTTATCTTGAAAACTTTTATCGATTAAGAGAAATTTAAAACAGCAGAAATGTTCAGTAAAGTTAGAGGAGTTATAATCATCAAATGATCCCTTTAAAGATGATGTTTACCAATTTTTTTTAGTTTTTTTGCAGAAACTTTGATAGATCTCAAGGATAGATAGAAATTTTATTTTTCAAGTTATATACATTAAACAGCAACATATTCATTGATGCAAAAACTTCAAAATGATCAATACAAGCTCCTTAAGGAGCCTCTTGTTGTATCTGCAGAGTTCACAAAATCTTTTTTCCCCTGGTAGTCCTTTAAGAAAATTTGCTGGTCCTCACTATTATTTCTATTGCAAGATACCAAAATTATGTCGGTTCTTTACAAAAAATTTAGTGGTCAAAACCTTCAGACAACCACTTCTCGAGAACTCTGGATCTGTAGGACACCTCGCTACTTCCTGTTTTCAAATTTCTTTGAATTAAAAGTAGGGGCATATACATGTTAAGCACACAACACATGCATTCTTGTTTTATATTACACTTATTTTAGTTTCCACTGACATGACTGAAGCAGTATTATAATATATTTATGTTATTCAATAGAAATCACATATACATTATCAAGTTCTCTAATATCTGATGCATCATACACAGCCTATATGTTTTTTCCACAAGAAGGCAGGTGTTGATATATTTACCCTTTTGTATCTCTGTTTTTTTTTTTTTAAACTGATATAAAATGCATTGAGATTATGGTTTCCATGGTGTTTTACAGAAAATCTGATGAAAAAAATAATTCAACTATAAATGTGAGAATCTGAACATAACTTTTTACGATAATCATTGATAATCCTAAAATTTATTTTGTAAAGATCTCTGGGGTTTTCAATCTACATTCAGTTTATTACAGATATATATCATGTATTATCCAACAAGGATGTTTCCTTTATTTTGTATCATTTTGTTGATACATGTACAAAAATAGAAATTCTCAAGTAAATCAGTCAGGAAAAATAAATTAGAATTTATAACAAATTAATGAAATACTTTCAGTTTCTCCTTCCTGTTTGAATCAAAATATCATATAAGGCATAGATCAAAGTTGTCCATAAATTCATCAAGCTGCTTCTCTATTGAACTTAACCTTTGCAAGGATAGATACTGGTCCTGTGTTTTTATACGACCACAAAAAAATTTGCGGTCCTATATTGGTATCACGTCGTCGTCCGAAGACATTTGGTTTCCGGACAATAACTTTTGTAAATGTAAATAGAAATCTATGAAATTTAAACACAAGGTTTACCCAGTATAACCACAAAAGGAAGGTTGGGATTGATTTTGGGGGTTATAGTCCTAACAGTTTAGGAATTAGGGGCCAAAAAGGGGCCCAAATAAGCATTTTTCTAGTTTCCAGACAATAACTTGTGGAACGGTGTATGGATCTCTCTGAAATTATACCACAAGTTTCCATACCACAAAGGGATGGTTAGGATTGGCTTTGGGGAGTTATGCCTCAAAGGGTTTAGGAATTAGGGGCAAAAAAGGGGGAAAAACAAGGGTTTCCTGGTTATTGGACAATTAAAAAAAAGTACAATGTTATGTTTGGATTACCTCCCTTACACTGCTTTTTAATTATGTATAAATGTTGTATTGTCTTGAGGTGATTAGCTGTCCTTTTATTTTTAGAAGTTACTATTTAAAAATGCTGATTAAGGAATATTAATTTTAGCCATGATTAATATATGTCATTTTCTATTTTAAGACTTTTATGATGTATTTAAATGGGTAACTATGGTTGCAAACTCCATTGGAAATTTGAATTGAGATTATGACCATATCTTGAGGGAAAGAATTTTTTTTTTGGAAAAAGAGGGGGAGGTGAAAAAAAAATTGGGGGGGGGGGGGGGGGGGGGGGTCAATTCGCAACAGCATAGTGTATTGCACAAAAGCAAAAAGAAAGGGGGGGTAAATTTTTTTTTTGGGGGGGGGGGGGGGGGGGGTCAATTCGCAACAGCATAGTGTATTGCACAAAAGCAAAAAATTGAATATAAATTCAAATCACATAACCAATTCTAAGTTCTTTGACTACAGTTATTCTGTGTCAGAAACCTATTATGTGTCAAATATTAAATTACAATCCAAATTCAGACCTGTATTAAGCGTGAATATTGTGTCCATTTTTGCCCCAACTGTTCAGGGTTGGACCTCTGCAGTTGTATCCAGCTGCGCTCGGTGAAGCAATTTATTTCCAGAGTTCTCGAAATCTTTTTTTCCATGGTGGACCTTGAAGAAAATATGCTGGTCCTCACTATTATTTCTGTTGCAAAATACCAAAATTGTGTCAGTCCTTTGAAAATGTTGGTGGTCAAAACCTTCGGACCACTACTTTTCGAGATCTCTGTTTTTTTTGGGGGGTTTTATATTTTTGTTTTTCGTTTTCTTTTATCTTGTTTTGTTCATGTATAACAGCACCAAAAACAAAGCATCTTCTCTAGTTTCATTGTGAAAGAGTGCATAGTAAAAATAATTTAGTATAATGCTACCCTACATTTCATTGCAGAACAAACTGTTGTATTCAGATGAAGAAACTGAACATGCTCATATCTCTTTTTGACTTTAACTATGAAACTGTAAAGTTTTGAATCTTTAAACAACTCATGGATGTGTGTCTCCCTCTAAAAATAATTCTCATTTAATGTTAGTAGGGTTGCAAACATGGAACATTGGTGGCACATATTTCACAATGAAACTATGGAAAATCTCATTTTCATCTTATTTGAGACCACTAGGCTAATTTGAAATAAACTTGACAGGAAGTATTTATAGGATAAAATTGAGAATGGAAATGGGGAATATGTCAAAGAGAACAACCTGACCAAAGAGCAGACAACAGCAGAAGGCCACCAATGGGTCTTCAATGCAGCAACAAAATCCTGCACCCGGAGGTGGTCCTCAGCTGGCCCCTAATTAAATTGTGTGCTAGTTCAGTGAAAATGGACGTCACACTGAACTCCAAAACTTTACAAACTATCCTCTGTGGATTCTGATCAGACCAAAAAACTTGTATAAGTGTTTCTTGTTTCTTATTTTTTATATAGATTAGACCATTGGTTTTCCCCGTTTGAACTGTTTTACACTAGTAATTTTTGGGACCCTTTATAGCTTGCTGTTCGGTGTGAGCCAAGGCTCCGTGTTGAAGGCCTTACTTTGACCTATAATGGTTTAATTTTACAAATTGTGACTTGGATGGAGAGTTGTCTCATTGGCACTCATACCACATCTTCTTATATCTATTGACCACCAGAGGCAATCATTGATTCTGATTTGGTTTTATCTTCTCTAACTCTACTTTTGTTAGCATGTAATAGACATATGATTGTCCATAATTATAATTGCAAAAAAAAAAACAATTTACGGCAGTTTTGACATAAACAGTTTATATAAACAAAAGCTAAATATAGATAAAATACCTAAATATACTATGTATTTAGTTACTCCCACATAATCATGATAATTATTGGTAATGTATGCCTAATTATTCTACAACAGTAAAATTTCACATACAATAAAGTATACAGACAGGATGTTTATGTGGGAATAATGTTTAAATTAAATCCGAAACTGTCCCAAAATTTTTAAACTGGAGAATTGCTTTCAGGTAAGTTGTTTCTTCTTAAAAACCACTTGAAATAATTAAGCATGATTTGAATTAGCAATTATATGAAAATAAAGATATTACAGTATGTTTTTCTCTCCACCAACGAAAATAGCTCCTTTTCCCCCTGAAGAAAACTATATAAGCAAAATAACTTAGGGAATATGCACCTTGTAAAAATGATTCTTTTAGTTTGGAACACTTTTGCAGGTTTAAGAAAAAACTATAAAAATAAGAAGTTGTTGTATGATTACCAATGAGACAACTCTCCACAAGATACCAAATGACCTAGAAATTAACAACTATATGTCACCATACAGCTTTCAACAATGAGCAAAACCCATACCGCATAGTAAGCTATAAAAGGCCCCGAAATGACAAATGTAAAACAATTCAAACGAGAAAACTAACGGCCAGATTTATGCACAAAACATTAAATGAAAAAAAAATATGAATTATACAGCAACAATGACAACCACTGAACTACAGGCTCCTGACTTGGGACAGGCACATTCAGAATGTGGCTGGGTTAAACATGTTTGCTAGCACCAAACCCTCCCCCTAACCTGTGGCCTGGTAAAAATGGTGTTGGCCATAAGATTCAGTTGCTGATGTGAAATCAAAGTAAGTTTCGACTACACATAAAGAATATATATATTCTGCAATAAAAAAAAATATAAAAACATAAAACATGCAAGAGAATTAGATAACCGGTACCTCATATAAAGTTCTGTATAATAATACAATTGTATTCTACATCAAAAGAAATATTAAAAAATTATTAAATCTAAAAATGGTTCTTTGATCTCAGTGTACTTGGGACCTCAAGAAAATAAATCTTTTTTTTCAATTTACATGGAATTAGATGAAATTTAACCTGAATAATTCAGTCCCTCCCCATAATCGATCTCTCCTACTTGTGAGGGCCTGAATTCCTTACACAATAAAAACTCTTTAGGAATCCTGGATTTTGGTTGGTGCCCTGTAGAAGATCTGACCAATCAGCAATCAGCTCAATTTTATCGAGATAGGTAAATCCAGAGCTAATTCCGAATGATTGATTGAAGATTTTTCATTGTCAATGCATTCAGGCGTTAATGGAGTAATCGTAGATCAGCAGAATATAACGACTGAATTATTCGGGTTAGATGAAATTTGGACAGAAGCTTGTTTATGACCAAATTACAGTATCCAGAACATAAATTTTGAAATATTTATTTTTCATTTTTCCGTATTTTACTGATAAATGGACTTAGTTTTTTTTACAGTTAACATTCATATTCAGTCTAAGGTTAAAGTTTTTCAGTCATCAATAACTTTGTTAAAGCTTTGGAATTTGATGAACTTGGACAGAAGCTTGTTTATGACAAAAATACAGTATCCAGAGCAAAATTTTGGAAATATTTATTTTCATTTTTCTGTATTTTACTGATAAATGGACTTATAGAATAGAATATATAAATAGAATTTAATGAAACTTTTTTTATGATTAAGAGATAATGTCTGAAGCACACTTTTGAAAATATATTTTCGTTTTCAGTATTTTTCTGATAGATAGACTTTTTTAACAGTTAACATATACTGACAGTCTGGGATTAAATTTGTTTGACATGATAAGGTTGTTAACCTTCATGGATTGTTATGAAACTTGGACAGAAGCTTATCTTCAAGACCTAGAAATAGCATCTAAAAAAAAAGTTTGAATCTTTTTTAACATTCTGTTTTTAACTGAAAATGGACTCACTTTTTAAGTCAACATTACACTTTCACACCGACAGCAGCAATCATAGGCGAGACACAGGGTTCCGCGGAACCCCTTACAAATTTTTCTTGTATATGCATGACTTTCCATTAATTTATCTTATAGAGCAAGAGGGATAGGGTGGGAGTTTTCCTTTCTTTTTCCTTAATTTTTTAAGCTATATTTAATTATGATTTATATTGTTGCCTATAATATTCCCTATTTTTTGTATATTTTAGTAACCAATCATCTTTGATTCTTTAATTTTGTCCATTTTTCTCTATTTTTACATTTTGGTACCACTATTCTCTATTCTGTAAACCCCATTCACAACTTAATAGCTATACTGAAAAGTTCTGGTCCTAATACCTTATAAATTTAAACTAAAAAGTGTTAAATTTGACAGAATGAGTTCCTCACTTTGTATGTAATTTGTTAAAGGTGTGTTAGCAATAATCTAGTTATATAATAAAAAATTTTGAGGCCTTTATTAAAAAAATAAAACATAGATATAAAGTCCCATACTATCATTGTGTATTATTTCATGAAAGGGATAATTATATAATAATACAGTAATTAACTACTAGAGTAGGTGTGAAATTACATGTACTTCTGGAGAATCAATATCATTAAACAATTGATTTAATTATATAATAATCTATCATTGTCAAGAATACATGCTAATTAAAAGGTCATTAATTGGTTGGACAAGACTAGACTGGACAGGTACCTAGAGTAACACCTATCTCTCACCTGAGAGGATGTGGTTTTTGTAAATGTTTTAATTGGACTTTTTCTTTTGTGTATTGGTTGTGTTATTTGGCGTGTCCTGGTGAGTAAAAGACTGATATTTCCTTGACATGTTGTTCTTGAATTATTCAAATCCATCAGATTTTAAGGTTATGGTTTTACACCTAAACTAACACAAGTTTTAACTAATTTTCTTGCAACTGTCGTTGGTTTAGTTTTGATTTTAACTAAAGCTATAAAAACAATTATCGTTAATTATTGAAATTAATAATGTTTCGCAAGTGAAACAGTTATCTTGATATGAATTTACCATTGATTAATATGATTTCCATATATTAAGCAGTTTTGGTTTTGTTTTTAAAGCAACTCTTTTTAATCAAGAAAACTGTTCAACATTTATATGATGTTGGTTGTGATATCTCAGTTAAGCATTCGTTTTGATTATATTGTGTTGTTTGTGCAGGTTACAAGAGACAATTATTCGTAATGCATTTTCCATAGGGTACCAGTGGTATTCCATATTTTATTTCTGGAAGACTTATTTACTGAAACCTGCAGTCTCATTGACTTTACTACTTATCTCCCTTTATTGGTGGCGTCAATTTTATCATTGACAATATTATATTATATATTTAGCTAAGTGCAACCCTTTGCAACCTGGTCAGTGAAATAATTATATCATTGCATACTTAGGTACATGTAATAAAACTGTTATACATACAAATTGATTTTGAGAAAAGTTGAAAATGTAATTTATGGAGGATCATGGGTATGAAAATCTGATGCCTAAATGTCTAATTTGTTCAAAATTTGATTGAACAATATGCTTTCTCATTTTTACTTGCCCTTGAAAGGTTCAGTACACTTTCATTAGGCATGGTATATATGAAATAAAACTTTTGTCAGCGTATGATTCTTTTTAGTTAATTGTCAGCTTTGACAAGTATGGAAAGTTGATATTTACACATCCCTTCAATCCACTTGAAGGTACAGATCCAATTATAGATATAGTATTACAGATATTTGTGAATATGAATAAACAGATGTTCAAGTACATATGTCATAAATGGGTATTTTTTTGCATAAATAACTAATTGTTATTATTTTATTAATGTAATTAATTAATCGTTATTTATTGTAGGTGGCTGGTGAACATCGTTACCACCCAGAGTGTTTCCAGTGTATAAGTTGTCGTAGTTACATTGGCGATGGTGACGCATATGGTTTGGTAGAAAGATCAAAGCTCTTCTGGTAATTTCAAAATTGATTGTTACATCTGTGTATTTTTACATTGAAACATTTCAGCCAATAGAGAAAGCTAGCGTGATGTTACATGCAGAGCAGATTTGTATTTTGTATAAAGTAAGACTGACGTGAAAGGGAATTTCTTGACTTTTTTAAGTCTTTAGGAAGTCTGTTTAACTTGGAATTGATATAGCAGGTTTATTAATAGCATGCTCAAAATTGTGGTTAAAATTAAAGAGTAAAATCTCACCTGTAAATGATCTATTACACTTATAATAAATTGACTTTGCTTTTCAACGTATTTCTGAAAAGGTTTTGAAGAATTTTTAAGGTTTTGTTAAATGCATTGGTATCTAGGTGTAAACTGAAATTTAACTATTAATTTTGTTTTATAGAAAGTTTTATTTGTGAGTCATTATGATGATGTATCACCAGACCACACAAAGCTTTTGAACCTTTTTTAGAGGTTTTTTTTTTTTATAATAAAAAAAAAATAGGCTGCAAAAGTTCAGACCTAAATCATTTTCGTTTACAACTGATTAATCAACTAGCAGACATAAGGCCTAGATTTTTGAATTATCAAGGTCTTAAAAATGACTCTTTTATTTGGACTATATTTGTAAAAATGGCAGAGTTAATAGAATAGTTTTTTTTTTAGGCCAATGAAGGCAGGAAATCATAATATATTATTAGGATTCAAGCATTTAAACATATGGCATCCATAGCCAAAGGAAGGCATATCAGTTAGAATAGGATGTTCAGAGAGATGTACATAAAATTTGTTTCCATTGGTTGAAACTTAATTTTGAAAGTAGCATAATTCAGTATTTTGAAAATGAAAAAAAGTTGAACATTACATAAGGAAACTATTGTGACCATTATAAATTTTAATGAACATGATGAAAGAAAAATACATGTACTCATAAGATCAGAACTGTGGACAAATTACTTTAGATAGGCAGTGAAATAAGATCTGATCTGTAATGTAAGAACTGAAGACACCCATAAGCCCTTAACCTTGATTGCCATCAGCTGGCATATTCAATTTACAACAAGACATTATAAATAAATGCAAAATGATAGTTTTCAATAATTTAGGAGGGGGATCTTGCAGTAATTTGACCTTATGTGAAGGAAAAAGATGATAAATGCAGGATATAAATTACATTTAATGACCCTCATGGCTTAAGATAAAAAAAATGATTAAAACTTTACTCTCTAAATAGAAAAAAAACCCCTTATTTTGATAAATGGAAAAATGACACTCCAACATCACATGAAAAAAATGAAGATAAATTCCCTTCGAAGTTTTGGCCAATTGTCTGCTTTATATTGGCATTTGAACTATTTCTCTTAAGTTAGTCATACTCAAACAATTAAAACGAGGATTTAACTAAATAATCAAGTCACATTGACCTATAAATAACCTGTGGGAGCATGACCTGCAAAAATGAGTCACTTCTTGAGATTGTAAACGTTAGGTCAAGAATTCAATTATTTTCAATTACATTTTATATAAATATAAATTAATTTTGATTAAATTAAATTGTCTGGTGATAACACAGGAAGCTTACTCACACATTAGGCGGTACTTGTTTAATATCATGTAACTATAATGAGATGATAAAATGTCGTATTGTTACACATTTTAAAAATAACTTTTTTCCATGTTCTTAAGGATATGACATGGGAAAGGGTTTCCCGACTTAAATTTATCACTTTATTTCTCAAAAGTATGAACTGTAAAAACTGTGAATGAAATGAAAAATGTGCTAAAAGGTGTCTTGGAAAATTACTGTCTTCTTTGTTGGTAAGGGTATTTTATGTTTTCTTAATTATGAAATATACTCTGAAATCACTTAATACAAACACTCAAAATTTAAAATTCTACCACGATTCCAATAATTTTCATAGAGGTGAAAAATGATAGATTACAGAATAGCTGCATAGAATTGAGGTTAATGTCTATATGATTATCTTGAACATAAGTACTAACTGAATAGTTTAAAATTTAGAATTTTTGAAAGGAAATTATCATCACATCTTGTAAACATTTTATTAATCAATAAATCAGAATCAAAATTGACCAAAGACAAAAATGGGAATGAAAAATTCAGAACACAACCAGTTAGGTTAACTTCAGATTTTATTGGCAAACATCTGAAACACTACATAAAAAGTACATTTAGGATAACTGGTAGGTTGACAATATACGCATTTGGTTTTCTAAAAACTACTTTTCAAATTGTTTGTGATCCTATTACCCTTTTGACGTTAAGTTACGTCACAGTGTATTCCTAATGTAACATCATAATACAGCTATTCCATCCACCATTAAAATTGTTATAAGATTCAGCATGTTTACCATCATAAATTGGAATTTATTGATGATAGAAAAATAAGGGGTTTATTTGTCTTGAGGCATTGGTTTTCCTTTGCAATTGTTTTCAATTCAAGAAGTTATTAGACTATGTTAGTTAACTTTCAGTAAATTTTTGGTACATATCATTAGCAACATTAGGAAAATATTACATCTTGATGTATATTTATCTGCCCCTCTATGGGATGCTCTTACAGGAAATCCAGAGTTGAAACAAATATTGCTAAAAAAATTTATACTCATTTCCTTGTATTTTTGTTTGAGAAATTATATGGTCAATTATTGTACAGATTTCTTATGTGAACCACAAAATCCAGGGAAATAGGTACCCTGTTATCGTGATATAAATGATATACCTGTAGTAAAAAAAAAAACAAGAGATGGGAGGTATAAATAAACAAGACAGCAACCAATTTACATAAAAAATAAACATGTCAACATATGGTCCTCAAAAATAAACAACACATGCTACACAAAATGTCAAGCTTTAGATATCCAGAATAAATAGTAATGAGTAGAGTTAATAGGGACTACGAAAATAATAAAAAGCAAAGATCTGTCATAAAACCAATATACCTAAATGATACAATACAATCAGATATGATAAAAGACCAGCACTGACCAGATACATGACTTTGGACAGGCACATAAACATTTGGCAGAGCCTAACTAAGTTTTCTGATATCTCAATTTCAGTATTTTAATTATGTTATCTTTGGACCACTCAGAACCAGTTCTGTTGGTTGATAAAGTAGAGCGTGTAATTTTGTCAGGTTATATAGACTTCCAACTTTTTGAATTAACCTTGGAGTTCAGTATTTTTGTTAATACATTTTTTCTTATCATTTTAGTGGGAGATGTTACAAAAAGGCCAAGAATAATCAGGACTCTGACAGCCGTTTGAGTGAGAATAAACATTCTATACAACTACTAGATATTCCAGCCACACCTGATAAGAAGAGAGGACTAGATTATACCCTGGAAAAACGATTGTCACAATACAGTCAGACTGTTAGGGAAAGTCTACAGTTCAATCCACAGCTTACTATTACTGAGTAAGTTTCCTAAGAGACTATCTGACACACTCTTAAGAATTTGATGTAAAAAAATTATATTAAAATTCATTTATTGTCATAGAGAAACAAAGGCTTGTAGGAAAAACTACTAATGCCTGAAATTGTCAAGTGTGTTCTAGTCATAGCAAAACAAAATAAAAGATACAGGTTCATAACTATTTTTAACTTTTTTTTAATAACATCATGATGACTGGACAAAAAGGATTAGATATTTATGCATCTTGTGACAGAACAAATTAAAAGTTGTCTTCTGTAAGAACTTTAAATCTATATAAATTGTACACTGGATGTGAAAAAATGACATTGTGGATTCATTTATTTTCTTGGATACCAAATTTAGTGGATTGATGTAGAATCATATTTTTCGTGGATAATTGTTTTCATGGTTTTGCCAAAGTCTACATACAAACCTATTGGAAATGTGTTCTTTGTGGAACATATTAATTCGTGAGTAACCTATTCCCACAAAATCCATAGCTTGGTATTCCAAGAATTATAATGAATACACAGTATTTACTTACAAAAAACCAACAGAATTTGAGTCAATTAAAGTAGAGACAACATTAGTCAACTTAAGATATAAAGTAATCCATGAGTCAACTTAAAATATAAAGTAATCCCCAAGTCAACTGAAGATATAAAGTAATCCACAAGTCAACTTAAGATATAAAGTAATCCAAGAGTCAACTTAAGATATAAAGTAATCCATGAGTCAACTTAAGATATAAAGTAATCCACGAGTCAACTTAAGATATAAAGTAATCCACAAGTCAACTTAAGATATAAAGTAATCCACGAGTCAACTTAAGATATAAAGTAATCCATGAGTCAACTTAAGATATAAAGTAATCCACGAGTCAACTTAAGATATAAAGTAATCCACAAGTCAACTTAAGATATAAAGTAATCAACGAGTCAACTTAAGATATAAAGTATTAGTAATCCATGAGTCAACTTAAGATATAAAGTAATCCATGAGTCAACTTAAGATATAAAGTAATCCACAAGTCAACTTAAGATATAAAGTAATCCACGAGTCAACTTAAGATATAAAGTAATCCATGAGTCAACTTAAGATATAAAGTAATCCACAAGTCAACTTAAGATATAAAGTAATCCACGAGTCAACTTAAGATATAAAGTAATCCACGAGTCAACTTAAGATATAAAGTAATCCATGAGTCAGCTTAAGATATAAAGTAATCCACGAGTCAACTTAAGATATAAAGTAATCCGCGAGTCAACTTAAGATATAAAGTAATCAACGAGTCAACTTAAGATATAAAGTATTAGTAATCCATGAGTCAACTTAAGATATAAAGTAATCCACGAGTCAACTTAAGATATAAAGTAATCCACAAGTCAACTTAAGATATAAAGTAATCCACGAGTCAACTTAAGATATAAAGTAATCCATGAGTCAACATAAGACTAAAGTAATCCACTGGCAGTTAGAAGCTGATGAACTCTTCATACAATTTTAAAAATCATTCACAAAGATTTGTAACTGTCCTATCAGTAAGAAATTAACCAACTTGACTTCAGAATACATGTATTTTTGTTTTCTGTATGAATAATGAAATTAACTATACATTCAATTGCTTTCGAAGCGGCAGTCTTCACGTTCAACCACATGCCCAGCAGCCCAGGCTTGTAAAATTGCCGTCGGGCCTGTAAAAATCATCTCTACACGCCAACAGAATTTAACTAAAATTTTCCAAAAATTGAGCTCGGGGCCTCTAGATTTAAAAGTTAATTGTGAAGACTGGTTCAGGCTGAAATGATGAATTATCTTTGTCTCTATAAAAATATTATATTTTACAGTTTAGATCTCAGTCCAGAGTTAGATACACTCAGCGTTGGGGATCGTATATTAGAAGTCAATGGAATAAGTGTCAAGGAAAATTCTATAGAAATGGTAAGGTTAAAGGTCATATTAAATAACTCACTACAAAACTTTGATATCATATACATGTAGCAGAATTATTTATAGATTAATAAAAAGATTGAAATTATCTTGCACAAATAAATAGGGAAATTGTGGAAATACAAAAGATATCTATTTCAATAGAAACTGTATAATACATCAATGTATGTGGGATAATAGATTTTCAAAATGCATCTTTTGCTTGTTTTACAGCTTCATGCATTTTGAAATTGTATTTTTTGGTCTGAAAAAATGTCTGGATTTTTCTTATTAGATGTTTGAAAAAAAAATGAAATGCTAAAAGATATGATTAATATATTAAAAATTACAAAAAAATGAAAGATATTTTAGTAGAGGTGTTTAAGTGATTTAAGTTTCTTTTAAATATTGAGAAATATCAGTTATTTATTAGACACACAATTTTATTGAAAACCCACTAATCGTAATAATTTGTACAGATATTCCTAATCATTCATAGAATAATATTCATAAGCCATTCCAGAAAAAATGAAGAGAGAGAGGGTTGATAAGTAAATTTTGCAGACCCCAATAAAAACTGGCTGCTGAGATGTAGAGTGCTGAAAGTGGGGTTCAAGACCAACAATCAATCAATCAATTATTAGTCCCCTACTGACGAAGTCGAAGGGGACTTTAGGTTTGCCGTCCGTCTTTTCTGTCTGTCCGTCCGTCTGTCCATCCGTCAGTCCGGCAATTCAGTCTTCCACACTTTTTTTATTCGTTCTTGAAGATATTGATTTGATATTTGGTATATAGTTTTATCATGACAAGTTATAGACCAAGGGCGAATTTTGTGCCGGTCTGATGATTTAGTCCAGAGTTATCATGGTCCATAAGTAATGTTAGAGTACTACATTTTGTATATTAAACCATATTTCTGTACAAAGGGAGATAACTCATTTTTTAAAAGACATTCTTTGGAAAATTGTTTTAAGTGTTTGTTATTTTGTACAAACTAATTTTCTGAATGATATATATATATATAAATTGTTTTTATGAAGTGAAATCCTTTAATTAGATAATGATCTATTTTTATTGAGGTATATATTTCATTACATTACATTGTGTATAGATAAAAGTTGTTGACATTTTATAGATAAGTTACAAATCTAAATTAGTTTGTGACAAATGAAAGAAAAAATATTTGGAACTATTAATTATATTTGATTATAATTTGAATATATATATACATTGTATTACATCATGTATAATTTAAGAGAACTATTAATCATATCTAATGTTAGAGTATTTTCCACACTTTTTTTCAACATGCTTGAAGATATTGATTGATAATTCTAATGCAATTATATTGTATCAATGGTTCTGATTGGATGACAGTAAGCGTAAAATTCTCTATGTCCTTGTCTGTAACTAGGGAAGCCGACATTTTGAATTCCGGAATGTATTGACATGTAATTTCTCCAATAATAAGCAAAAAAAACTTACATTTTGCACCTAAAATTTTCTTTTAATCAAATTTTATTCCATTCTGAAGCGGACAAAAAGCCAGAAAACGCCCGGTGTTTACGTTTGATGCCGGAAGCTTACCTATGACGTCACATAGTTTAGGCGCTAAAGAAGTTAACATCATTTCGCAGCATTTTTGTTTAATGGAAATTTTACACTGAAATGATGACTAAAATTCAACGATTTGTTTATTTTGCATTAGAATAGAGATAACTGTATTGTATTTGAAGCTTTGCGGACGTCCATCGGTAGTTTTACTGTCGCAAATATCCGTTTACCTGGCGACGCAACTCAATTTGCGACAGTAAAACTACCGATGGACGTCCGCAAAGCTTCAAATACAATACAGTTATCTCTTAATTGGTATATAGTTTTATCATGACAAGTTACAGATCAAGTTCAAATTTTTGTTTCGGTCTGATAATTTTATGCAGAGTTATGGTCCTTGTACTTGAAAAATTCACTCATATAATCAGTTTTCCACACTGTTTTTAGTCATGCTTGAAGATATTGACTTGATATTGACTTTTTGTTTACACCATGACAAGTTATAGAATAAGTTAGCATTTTGTTCCAGTATAATGAATTTTTACCCGGTAGGGGACTATGTATTGCCATGCAATACTCTCAGAATGCTTGTTTAAATTAAGGAAGAGAAAATCCTCAGCCTTCAACCCTCAAAGGATATTAATGTTAAATATTTACAATGCTGTTAAAGTAAGATTCTTTAAACGTAAGCAGAGAACAGTTCAAACTTAAAGAATTACATGTGTTGTATATATTTCAGATTGACAAGCTGTTGAAGAACTCCAGTGAATCACTACAGTTAACAGTAGAACATGACCCTGTAAAGTCTCCTAGATTGACTGACACACCTCCATGTAGTCCTCGGTCTCCAGAGAGTCCAACACAGTCAGAAAATGTTGTCATAATTAATGGTGTCCCTGTCAAGAAGAGGCTCAAACCACATCTAAGAAAGTAAGATAACAATTTTTTTTTAACAAACAAACAACAAAAAATTCAAATTTTTCAATGATGATAACGTCTGAAGTTTGTTCTTTATTTTTGAAGTATGAAAAATTTCAGAAATTAAACGATCAAGAGAACTGTCCAGTGATAAAAAAAATCTGTTCAATACTATTATACACATCATTTATTCTATAAAAGTTAAAAATAACTTATAGTGGATTGTTAATGAATGATATGTGTTTGCTTGTATAAATATCATAGGACTGTGTTGCAGGAAATAATATAAGAGAACTATAAAAAAAACTGTTATACAAGTGGGAGGTTTAGCTAGCTATAAAACCAGGTTTAACCCACAATTTTCTTTGGAAAATGCCTGCACAAAGTCAGGATTATGGCAGTTGTTTTCCAGTTGGTTGATATAGTCAAACTTTTGGTTTTATTCGGTTTTATGGACTTCCTCCCTTTTTTTACGACCGCAAAAATTAAAAATTTTTTGGTCGTATATTGGTATGACGTTGGCGTCGTCGTCGTCGTCGTCGTCTGGTGTCGTCCGGCGTCGTCCGAAGACACATTGGTTTTCGCACTCTAACTTTAGTTTAAGTGAATGGATCTCTATGAAATTTTACCACAAGGTTCAATACCACAAAAGGAAGGTTGGGATTGATTTTGGGGGTTATGGTACCAACAGTAAAGGAATTAGGGGCCAAAAAGGGGCCAAAATAAGCATTTTTGTAACTTCCAGACATAACTTGTGTGTTAGTGTATGGATATCTCTGACATTGTACCACAAGGTTCCATATCACAAAAGGAATGCCGGGATTGATTTTGAGGGTAATTGTCTCAAAATTTTAGGAATTAGGGGCCAAAAAAGGGGCAAAAAACAAGCATTTTCCTAGTTTCATGACAATAACTTGTGTGTAAGTGTTTGGATATTTCTGAAATTGTACTACAAGGTTCCATATCACAAAGGGAAAGCTGGAATTGAGTTTGGGGGTAATTGCCCGAAACGTTTAGGAATTGGGGGCCAAAAAGGGGCCAAAAATAAGCATTTTTCTAGTTTCCAGACAATAACTTGTGTTCAAGTGTATGGATCTCTCTGAAATTGTACTGCAAGGTACCATACCAAAAAGGGAAGGCTGGGATTGAGTTTGGGGGTGATGAATCATAAGGGGGTTCAAAAAATTTGGGGGGGGATTTTTTTTTTTTTCTGTTTTTCCTTCTTTTTTTTCTTTTAAAATTTTCCATTTTAAGTTGGTTATTACTGATTTATATTTAAAAGCAAATAATAATGATATGGTAGGAGATACACACCAAACAGGATGTGTAAATTATTATATATAATAAGTATTGTGCAATAGCAAGAAATTTTCAATTGCACAGTATTGCACATTAGCAAGAAATCTTCAATTGCACAGTATTGCGCAATAGCAAGAAATCTTCAATTGCACAGTATTGCGTAATAGCAAGAAATATCCAATAGCACAATATTGCACAATAGCAAGAAATTGTCAATTGTACAGTATTGCGCAATAGCAAGAAATATTCAATTGTACAGTATTGTGCAAAAGAAGATACTTCGTATAAATTGCTTATAACTTGATCAATTTCAATGGGGTTTTATTCTTGAATTCTTGGGGTTCTTTAATATGCTGAATCTAACCGTGTATTAAGTTTTTGGATTTTGGGCCCCGTTTTTAAATTGGTCCACATTGAGGTCCAAAGGGTCCAAAATTTAACTTTGTTTGATTTCGTCAAAAATTGAATTATTGGGGTTCTTTGATACCGGTATGCCGAATCTAACCGTGTATTTAGATTCTTAATTTTTGGTTCCGTTTTCAAATTGGTCTACATTAAGGTCCAAAGGGTCCAAAATTAAACTTAGTTTGATTTTAACAAAAATTGAAATTTTAGGGTTCTTTGATAATCTGAATCTAAACATGTATTTAGATTTTTGATTATGGGCCCAGTTTTCAAGTTGGTCCAAATCGGGGTCCAAAATTAAACTTTGTTTGATTTCAACAAAAATTGAATATATGGGGTTCTTTGATATGCTGAATCTAACCATTATTTAGATTTTTGATTTTTGGGCCCCGTTATCAACTTTGTCCACATTGAGGTCAAAAGGGTCCAAAATTAAACTTTGTTTGATTTCATCAAAAATTGAATTCTTAGGGTTCTTTGATATGCTGAATCTAACCATGTATTTAGATTTTGGATATTGGACCATAATAGGTGAATGTCCAATTTAAAATTTTTAAGTTCTTAGACCACATTCATTCTGTGTCAGAAACCTATGCTGTGTCAAATATTTAATCACAATCCAAATTCAGAGCTGTATCAAGCTTGAATGTTGTGTCCATACTTGCCCCAACTGTTCAGGGTTCGACCTCTGCGGTCGTATCAAGCTGCGCCCTGCGGAGCATTTTATTGATTTTACCTTGGAGTTTCGTATTTTTTTGTAAATACATTCGTTTACTGTTTTGTAATGCTTGTTGCTTTGATGTTGAAGTTTCACACATTTTATGTAGGGATGTATGTCAAACAATGATATTATTGAGGGGGGAAGTTAAACTATATGCGTAAAAATTGTAATTTCAAGACAGGAAACTGATATTTATACACTTCCTTTCAATCCTACAAATATAATTTTCCCATACAAGTTATGTCTAAATCGTAAGTGTTTGGTGAAGTTTTGTTGTTTTTAGAATATAACTTAATTTTGCACTTACGTTCATTGTATTAAAGACACATTATAATTTTATGATTGTCTTCTTTTATGGATGTCATTATTTTTTTGTTAGTAAAGATTTATAGAACACCTGATATAATTTATTGTAAAAAGTTCCTGTCCAAAATTTATTTCACATTTTTCTGTCTTTTGTAACAGAACATAAGTCATAAGGTTTGCTTCAGTCACTAACGACTCATGAATAATTTAAGATACTGCCATGTGACATTTGTCTGATTGTTGTACAAATATCTCATTGTATTAATAGTACAGTGAAACCTGTCCAAACTGAACACCCTTGGGACTTGGTGTTTTGTTCGGTTTGCACAGGTGTTAAGATTGTAGAGGTAAACGGAAGTGGGTAGTTTAAAAACATTTTGAAACTGACTGACAACGGATGCCAAGTGACACAACAGCCGACAATCGTTTCATGTTGATTTCAATGTAAAAGACAATAAAATGAAAAATATGAAAAGATTTTTCATAACTGCAGACATAGTAATCAAATGTAAGTTCATCGGTCATGCTCCTTATTAATAAATAGAAAGTGTTGGTATGGTTTATATCCGATCCTTGTAGTAAACTTTAATTTAAAGTCATATTCCCGCAAGTCTACATCGTCTTCTGATTCAATTTAGCTTCCCCTCCAAATTTTACTGTTCAAGTCAGATTCCCAATCCCTGTCAAATTCTGATTCGGTAGTTTAATTGTCATCAAAATCGGGTTTCTGTTATTGGCACACTCCGGTCCTTCGAAATGTTGAACCCCAGTCCTATAATGTTGTAATAAATGGGATAGAGGAACATCATCATCCGGGTCTTCAGATTCATTTGCATTCAATGAATCTGAAATTACGAAAACATTGATCACAGTGTATTTCTTTACATTTGAGAATGTCATAAACAGTAGCATTACCGAACCCATATTTCAAAATAAGATCATTTTGTGAATAATTTGAAATAACATCGGAATCTATAACTAATTCCAATATGTGTTAAGGAGAAAGTCCGATTATTGCCCTGCCCTCTTTTTGGCTATGACTGTTTATCTTTTTTATCAATTTTTGTTTCTTGTTACGAATTTCTATTTAAGCACTGTATACATGTACATTTATTTATCATCTCAATGCAATTGATTACAAGCTAATTAGTTTATAAAAACAACTCATCATTAAATTAAACTTTAAATATCCTCTGGGATCATTTGCCAGCATGTGTATGTTTAACCACTCATGCAAACAATTGTAAATACTTACATTGTTTTAATTGCTATCGATCGATTTTGCCAGGCAAACTTTCAATACACATTCACTAACGAGCCTTCATAAAGCGTTCCGAATTCGGTATCGGGAGGGTTCGGTTTGTTCAGGTTGAATTAGCTTTAATTAATTGGGAAATATCATGGGACTTTGGAAATTGTTTGGTTTTAAGTGAAATTCGGTTTAATCAGGGTTCAGTTTTCTCAGGTTTCACTGTATTATTAAAATCGATTAAGAATCTATTGCAGTAGGCGTGAAATCTTTTTATTCTTCATCAGTGACTGTTAACTCAATCCACGAAAATTGGTACCCACCAAAAAAATGAATTTACAGTCTTAAAAAGTCATGCAGTGTTGCCTGATTCTTGCTTTAGAAATAAATTGAGGCCCAACAGTGATTTCTTACAGTAACTGAGTCAGTATTGGTTCAAATGCATTATCTATCAAATGAACACAAAAAAACTCCTGATCTTTGACATTTTCACTGACAAACCACTAAAACACGAAATACATTTATATTTATGAATAAATATGAAGAGTTTAGGGATATGCCACTTCACACACTATCTGTAACCAGTACCAGTTCATCTATAGTAGCAAAGTGTTGAAGAGAACTTTTAAGATGATCAATTGTCCAAAGTCTGTTATGCATTGTTACAATCTGAAATTGGCAATGTTCTTGGCAATGTCATTAAATTTCCTCAAACGAATAAATTATTGAATGATGATCAATGGTTGGAGACTATGTATACTAAATAAAATACATTCAGCTAAGTTCAATTATTTCATTTGTCTGAAAAGTCACTGTTTTGTTAACATAATGATTTGTGAACAAACTTATATAGGACAGCCAAATTACTGGCCAGCTTTACATATCTAGAGAAAAAGTAAAATGGAATAAATTTCAGCTTTGAATTATTTTCAATGGTTTTATTTTTTGCCAGATGAATGTCAAGCTCGTTGTAATATAAACAGAACTTTTAAGTTTAATAAATAATTTTTTTCTTTACAGTTTAAGTCCTACGAGAAGAAGAAGTAAATCACCATCTCCTTCACCTGCCAGTCGCCAAAAAAGTGTTGATCTCACTCGCGCTCATTCCTTCCGTTTACAGAACCTCAATCATCGTGTCTTCCGAGCAAGTGATCTAATTCATCAAGAAGTTATAGGTGCTGGATTTTTTGGACAAGCCATTAAAGTTGTTCACAAAGTTACTGGTGAAGTTATGGTGCTAAAGGAAATGATTAAGTTTGACGAGGAAGCACAGAAAAGCTTTCTCAAAGAGGTTAGTTGTTTTACATGAGAAAAAGTGTCATGAAATTGCTAACTGTGGATTTATCAATATTACTGGGTTACCTATTTTTGTGGGTTTAGGTGAACCTCAAATTTAAATGTTCAATGGTGTACAAATTTGCTTTAGGCTTGTATGCAGACTGGCAAAACTACAAAATCAAATACCCATGAAAATACAATTTTTCTCAATCCAGGCCAGAGGGAAATTATTACCTACTAAAATAAATGAATCCACAGTAACCAAAAAGACGTCTTTTGTTGGGGAATTTATGTTGACACCAAGATCTTTTTGTTGTTGTATGTTTCCAGTCCTAAAAACGAATGGAAATTGATCTGTTTTCATTGAACTTCAAGGAATTTTTTTTAATTTCCATTTGTGATGTCATGAAAAGAACACTTATTCATAAACTTTTTACAAAGAGACCTATTTTTTATCTGTTTAAGATGTGATTCATTATGATGAATTCAAGAATTCAAATATAGAAATATATTCAACGAGTGACCGAACAACACATTAATTTAGGGTGCATTAGTTCATTATCAGTGTTGTTCCGTCACAAGTTGAATATTTTTCGATATTTTAATTCTTTGATTAGTTATTACTTTATTACATTGACCATGGGCTTTTTAATAGAAATAAAGTATAAAATACAAGGAAGTATATCTTTTTCTATGCATTGCCAATTTGTTTTGATGCAACATCATTGCCTAACACCCATTGTTTGATGAAGTCGGAGGAGTTGAATTATCAGATTTATTTCACATGTGAAATTATCAGTTTTTTATTTCACTGGGAAGTCACGGTATTTCATTGCAACCAATGTAGCAATTGTCAATAATTCATAATTAAAAGTTTAGCTAGAAATAAGGTCCCTGTTGAACCTTCTCCTTTATGACCAATCCATCAAAGAAAATTTTTTTTTCATTATTTCATTTCAGTGTTATTTTAGTATGCAATGAATATTTTTTTATTTTTTATTTTCAGGTATCGGTGCTTAGAAGTCTGAATCACCCTAACGTTTTACAGTTTATGGGTGTGCTTTACAAAGATAAGAAGCTAAATTTAGTCACAGGTCAGTCTCTTCAAGAATCAGATTTCAATGATTCATATTTAAAATGTAACAAAATTTTGCTTCCCTTCTCTAATAAAAAAATGCACAGTTGTTTTTACCTGATCTACAGAGGCTGTTCAGTACAACTCTACATGGATTTCCTATTGCTGAAACATATCCATTAAGTCACTTCGGTGTAAACTTTTTAAATTGCTGCAACTTCTAACTGACATCAATAACAAATCATGTCAGTTTAAATGAAGGTTTGATATTTATTTTAATTTGAAAAACTATGAAAGTAAATTCTTTTTGATTCAAATCATCAAATTATATAAGTATGCACAAATGAGAAAACATTGATGGATATATTTATTCACTTAAGGATAACACATAATATTATCTAGATTTAAATATATATATATTCTTATAACAATTCTTTACATTGTGATTTAATTTTGTTTTTGTTTTTGACAGAATATGTGCCATGTGGAACACTTAAAGATCTCCTACACGACATGAACAAGCCATTGTCATGGATACAGAGAGTTAAATTTGCCAAAGATATTGCTGCTGGAATGGTATGTGTATAAAGAGATTTTGTAGAAATTTTAATTCAATGTTTGAGCCTTCTATAGAAATAGATAAAAATTGGTCAAAGGGAGGCAACTACAGATATAATTCTTACCATCAAAACCAGTTGGTCTGAAAATTAATTTTGGTTTCATGCGTACACAAAACTGAAGAAAATGTCATATTTAAAAGAAAATGAAGCAGGAATATTAAGTGTCTGTCTTTTATATGTTTTTGTATGTAAGATGGATTATTTGAAAAAAAGAAATACACAGTTTCAAAATTCTTAAGAGAAAATATTTTATGATATTCAAGAAACCATAAGTGAACTTTACACTAAAATCAAAGGAGTATTAAACATTACATTGACCATATGTTTTTTTTTCTAACACACCTGACTTGTTTCATTCTGTCAAAAGATGCACTTTATGATTTCAACATTCTTTAATAGTGAAATTGTCTGAATTTTACTGAAAAGAAATCAAAATCACAACGGTTTCATATTTTATCAGTTTTGTTGTAAAAGAATATTACTTTTTCTTTTCTTTCTTTACTTTTTTTCCCCATCAAATTATATATTATAGTCAAGTAATATTTAATGTGAAATCAATATGAGGTATCAATATTATATAAATGTTAATATTAATTCTTACTATTTTTATTTTTCAGAGTTATTTGCATTCAAATGATATTATCCATAGAGATTTGAACTCCCAGAATTGCTTCGTTAAACAGGTAGGTTTTATAAAAGCATTAACAACAGATGAAAATAAAAATATGCTAAAATTTCACTTAACAAAACAAATTGTGTTTTTTTATCAAATACTAGAGTTATCTCCCATAGATATACTCCTAAACTATTGATAATTCCTTTTGGAGTCTAAATTTATAAATAACTAGAGTGAGCTCATAAAAAAATATTGCATGTAAGTCATCAAAACTTTTTAATTTCATTTTAGAATTTTCAAAGTAGAAAACGTTATAGTTTTAGCTTTTGGAATCTCTGGATAGTGGCTTAATTTTAATAAAATTATGATATTTTTTCTCTCATATGAATGGTATTTCTTTTTTATGAACGATGTTATCATGTTTTATTAACAGAATATGACAGTGGTTGTGGCAGATTTTGGTTTAGCAAGGGTTATACCAGATCCTTACTTCCGCCACTCAGAAAAACCATCACCACCAAAACTCCATGGAAAAAAGAGATTTCAACGAAAGAAAAGATACACAATTGTTGGAAGTGCCTATTGGATGGCACCTGAAATGTTAAATGGACAGAAATACGACGAGAAAGTCGATCAATTTTCTTATGGTATTGTTCTGTGTGAGGTAAGTCTTATCTGATTGAATATTTTCTTCAATTGGTGATCAGGTAATGTTATAAGTCCTAAATAATTCTCCTTTTTGGCAAGTCCGAAATATCACGGTCCAAAGAAAATAAAGTTGATACATTAAATGTTTGATAATTCATATGGTCCTTTCAATTGCAAGTCTGGACTGGATTGCACAAACATTTATTAACATAACATGATTTTTCAATGTTAAGTAATAATAAAAATCTATTGAATTTTGTTAATAATGATAACTACATAAAATTTAAATGATCTTTTACATAAATTTAGATTTGTACTGATATTCTGCAATTTTATCTTTAATACAAAAATAGAAAAAAAAAAACATTCATTAAAATTTCCCACTTTACAATACCTAGTAATAGATTTTTATTGTAGTATATCATATTATCAAAAAGCATTTATACATTATAGGTAATAGGACGAGTGTTTGCTGACCCAGATTTGTTACCAAGGACTATAGACTACGGTCTGAGTGTTGATATGTTTTATAAGCAGTTCTGTGTAGAAACATCTTGTCCTGACCCATTCTACAAAATAGCTGTAACCTGTTGTCAACTTGTTCCTGAAAAAAGGTAATGCTAACACCAAAATTATAACTGCTTTTGCCGTCTTAGTGTCTATGCAGTCATGAGAAACTTTATGGAAAATCTCAGAAACCACAATGTGAGTTTAGTTGAAACTTGATCTTAATCATCCTTGGGGTTCTAGTTTTAAAGTTGTGTCTGATGACCCTAAATCAGTCACCATGGTTAAGATTACTGGAGTTAGGGAGTAAAAGACCAATGTACTTTTTAACCCACAAATAATACACCTGTCAGGACATAACATAGCAGATACGGGTTTGTAAGGTTATTATGCCCTGCCGTAGCGGAGGGGGCATTAAGTTGTACCCTTGTCCATCTGTACGTCCGTCCGTATGTCCCAAAGTTGGTTTCCTTTCTCTAACTTTAGTTTGCCTCAACCAAATGTAATTAAACTTATACAAAATGCTTATTACCACAAAACACAGATCAAGTTTGAATTTTGGTGGCGTCACTTTAACCGTTCTAGAGTTATGCCCCTTTACAAATGGAAAAATTGCTGTATTATTCGTTTCTGTTCTCTAACTTAAGTTTGCCTCAACCAAATGTTATGAAACTTATACACAATACTTATTACCACAATACTCAGATCAAGTACAAATTTGGGTAGTATCACTTTTACCGTTCTTCAGTTATGTCCCTTTATAACTTTATATGATATGCAAGCGGGGGCATCATCTGTGTCCCATTTATTTTTTAAATGATATGGTTCAATATGACCAACAAGGATTGACACCTTTACTATATAAGAGAAAATATTTAGGAAAACAAAATATTTTGAATAGTGATGTTCTTAATTCATTTATCATTTTGCACCAAATTTTGAGGAAATTTTCCTGGAATAGACTACTATGATAAATGCACTAATGACAGGCCTGTAGCCAGGATGTCTTTGAGGGGGTTATGATGCTCTGACTTTAATAGTCAGGGAGGGGGGAATCAGATGAACTTCCAAATCCTCTGGCTATAGTTGTGGATGAGACCTTATTTTGGCACTCCCATGAAACATAATTTAAAATAGGTCTATTGGTACAGAAACATTAAAACTCCATTCTGTTAAAATAACTAACTTAAAGTTTGTAATAATCATCCTTATGATAACTGCATTGAAGATTTTTTAATTAGAACAAGGGGAGATAAACAGGTTTACAGACTCTTTAGTTTATCCATAATGAGGATTTGCCTTGTAATATTGAATGTTTGAAGAAATCCATATTGAATTTTTTTTTAAATAATTGTCAATGAATTCATTATGCGCCGCTATTTGTATGTTTTAGAGGTTTAGCCTATGGCTTTAAAACAATGCATGTACGTGAAGCTTACTGTAGTAAATTTGTTGCTTAGAAAAAAACTGGATGCTTTTATTATCATGGGCATTAAGTGTCTTGGATTAAGTAAAAGATTTCATGGATACTTAATTTCATGATTTGGACAAATTCAGCATAGAAACCTTAATGAAATTTGTATTATGTTGAATACTTTAATTTGTGGTTCAACTATTGCAATAAATAATTATTCAGTGATTATCTCCCTTGTATTGTTTGGCATGTTTAAGCTTGTATATTATTACTTTCGAGAAATTGATTGCAAATACACATGTATACTGGTAAACATTTTTCATTGATTTATCTTTTTAACAAAATTTTATTCAGATCCATTCAAACTTTTAAATATAAATGGATTATCTCCAATGTCTTCATTTCAAATTTTAGTTTTTTTCTGAGAAAGATAGAAACTAGGTAAAACTGGACCGAAGATAACACTAAAACTTAAAATGATTATAAAAGATTTTAAATGATTAAATATTTGACTGATATCTGATCTTATCGTAACAATCAACAACATTTATACATGTGTATTTGTAATGCATTTTTGTCGAGCCTGTGACTTTTGTCGCAAAAGCAAGACATAGCAATCATACATTCCGTCTTCAACGACGGCAGCGGCGTCCACAAATATTCACTCTGTGGTTAAAGTTTTTGAAATTTTAATAACTTTCTTAAACTATCCTGGATTTCTACCAAACTTGGACAGAAACTTGTTTATGATCATAAGATAGTATCCAGAAGTAAATTTTGTAAAAAAAAAAAATCCGTATTTTATCAAAAGATAGTATCTAGAGGAAAATTTTTAATAATTTTTTCCCCATTTTTGTTGAGCATGCGACTAACAGCAAAAGTAGGCAAGACCATGGGTTCCGCGGATCGTTGGGACCCTTACGAATTTTATACAAAATTATTCTATTGCGGTATGTCATAGATGTAATTAAAAGCATATCAATTGATTTTTATACAATTTAAAGATATACAGGGTAGTAAAAGTTTTATGGATTGACACTAATAAAAAAATATAAATTTTGAGAGGAATGGTTATGTTATTTCATTTGCTATCAATTTAATTTGATAATATATCTAAACCAGTCACATTCATAATTAAATCAAGTTTGAACCATGATGATTTTTTTGGGGTTATAAAATCATAAGTTGGAAATAGAGTTCATGGAACTAGAAATCATTATTTGATATGATGTTTTATCTGCATATATGTGTAAAACAAAGTGATTACAAAGTTCAGGAATGCAACCTTCAAGTAAACCCACTCTGACATACCCAGTACATTATCCATTGTAATTTTGAAGTCCTATTAGTTTTAATGGGTATTCTGTCCTGAATATGCATGAAATAAATGCCACTGGACTTAAAGGAAGCAACAATCAATTAATGGGTATTAAATGAGTAAAAAAGACAATTTCATTGGCCAAAACATTATCTTCCTTAACCTTTAAAATTGAATAAAAGTCAAATGGTGCATTTCTAGCTTTCTGAAAGACTATTCAAGATAAGTTTGAAATTAAAAATAATCTATTTATTCATCCATTTTAACGTATGTTATATCTATTTTTCAGGCCATCATTTGAAAAAATAGAAGTTTTAACCGATAGCTTACTCCTGCATTTAGAACATGGAGGACGCCTTCCACCTGATCTCCAAGGTAACCCAGTGGAATATTACTACTCAATTAGAGATGGACATAAAACTATTAATTCACCAGCAACAAAAAATAGTATCAAAGAAACGTGTTCAAATGGAAAAAGTTCCGATAAAGAGACTGCTGATGAAATAGATAGTACAGATAGTTGCAGTGTTGATAACACAAAGGATTCTGGGAATGATAGTGACTTGAATAGTAGTATTATAAGGTCCTCAGAACTTATATCTGTCAATATTACAGACATTTCAAATTTATCTGAATACTCAGAAAAATCAACACCTTCAGACATTTCTATATTTGAAGAAGTACCTACTGAAAGACATAAAGGTGTTAAAGATACAAAATTTGAATGTGCAAGACTGAATCTATTTCAAGATAGTGATGCATCTCATTCTAAAAGATATGGTAATGATTTTACCCAACCAGATGACGCAGAAAGATATGCTGAAGATTTGAAGGAACTTAAACATTCAAAACGACAAGCACATGACTTTGAAGAAATGGATCACTCAAATAGACATGGGCATGACTTAAAAGAGTCAGATCAAACTAAAAGACATGGAAATAAGTTTCAAAGTGCTGATTTGACCGATAACCAAAGCTGTGATATTTCAAACAATCTTCCATTAAATCAATATTCACCCGATATTAAAATTGAATTATCTGAATTTAATGAAGTTCAAGATTCTAGCAAAAATATAACAGTAGAAATAGCTTCTGAATGTGATAGAGTTCAGGATGTAAGTATGGAAACAAGTGCAAGGGATAAATCTTTAAATTCTCCCAACTATATACCTGTGATAGATAGTTCTGACATTAGCATAAAAAAGGACATATCCATGGAGAGTTTGAACGATTATTTTGATTCACATGAAAAATTTGATGAAAAAGGAAATTCTTCCAGTGCAGATGTTTCAATGACTGATGAACAATGCAATCAGCTAGATGTTAGTCGATCTGGCGAACGACTACACAAATTTAGGACATGCTCACCGAATAATTCATCAGCTTCATCATCATCGTCATCATATTATTCATTGTCATCATCTCCAGGTGCTTCGTTAACGTTTTCATCAACATGTCAAGTTGATGAAAAAATTGATGAGAATACTTGATGTATGAATATATTTCATGGATTTGTTAATTATTTATGCCTCTTTTGCTGACGCTAATTGAATAATTTTTTTAATTGTTGAAATATGATGGGTTAATGTTGGCCTTCCTGCCTGTTTTATCCAAGTTATAGTATAAGACAACTCTACTCTTTTGACAGAAAAAATTACAAAAGTCACATATATAATTGGCATATCACAAAAAATTCTCTTATTCTTCAAATTCCTAATTAAATCTTGTAAGTCTACTTATAAACTGTTATGTACTAGTTAAAAGACAATAATGTTCCATGTACATGACAAAAAATTAGAGTAATTACAATAGTTGTGTCCTCTCACAATCTAACTGCATGATAAAAATCTACACTTTTCATACAGATCACTCAGAAAACTTATAAGTCAATGTAAGTTATTATTCATCTTTTTAAAAACACTGTAGTCAGTGTAGATTATACTGCTTGATTTTGCATTGCTATGGCGTTTTTTTTTTTTTTTTAGAGTACTGAAGCTTTAAACTCTTACATGTTTTCTGAAATACATCATTTTGCACATATCTTTAGTGCTTCAAAATTTAGGGCCAGGTTTGCACACAAAGCCATGTTTAAGGATCAAAAATCTATCTCAGCTTTTCTTTGTTTTTTTGTTTCTATTAATCAAGGTCATGATATATATATGAAATAGAAAAATGATACATTCATAATAAAGTAACCTTATTTTGGGATTGGAAAAGTTTTCCTAGATATACATGATATAAACAGACTATAATGACCTGTAATTGCTAACATCATTTGAACTTTAGTGGATAGTTGTCTCATTGGCAATCATACCACATCTCCTTATTTGTTTTAAGATAAACAAAAATTATTATGGTCTATGGACATGACAGGTTCATTCACATTATTTTTACAGTGTAAGATAGTTGACAAGTTTTGAAGTTTTGATTTCATTACTTACAGAATTTTAAGAATCTATTTTCTACCTAACTTTGATGGAGGTGATTTGATAGACTGACATGACTTAGAGTTTTTCTCAAGTACTACAACATGTACATATCCACTTTTATACAAACACTGTCATGGATGAGGGTCTGGATGGGGTTAACAGAAAAGAGAATATATGGCAAACAAAAATAAAGGAACCCCCCCCCCCCCCTCCCTCATGGATTATCATCATGACACTTGTCTTTAAATACATTGTATAAGAAAGCTGTATGCTTTCAACGATTCAAGCAAACAATTTAGTAGATCCTGTAAAAGTATTAAAAGTTACATATTAAAAACATTTTATTGCCAAATGAGTGTGGAGTTTTTTTTAATTTTTCTAAGGCTGTATATTTGCTATTCATGATCAAACTTGGGGTTTTTTTGTACGACTTTATCAAACCACATTTTGCTCAATGTCCTTTTGATGATTTTAGTGTCTTTTTACATTCTATAAAATAATATTTATTAGATTAAATTCATATCTTATGCAGTGTAGTTTTATCCATACGGATTTTCACATTCAAGTCCAGAAATACATGTATCTATGAATGACTTGTAAAATTGATTAAAGGTGTGTGTTTTTGAGTTCGTAGTGGCTTATCTTACTTGTACACTTATACATGTAATCCTTTGAAAGATAAGTGGAAATCTAGATAGAAGTCCTGTACTTTAATCTGGCCTGGAACCATCTTATCTATTAGACACTTGATATATACATGTACTCATATCTTTATTAGTCATGTTAGTATGGACTATAGCATGTGATGAGACTTATTCTGTGTTTCTGTAATAACACAAAACTACTTATTGATTTAACTTTAACATTTGTAACTTGTTTGTCACATGAAGAATTAATTTAAAATGTTCAGTCACAATAAGGTTTTTTGAAGTAATAATCATGAAAATTGAACAATTGTTTCTATATACAATGAAAAAAATAAGAAGAATCCCTTCAATACTGAGAAATAGCCATGCATAAAGGGACAAAACTTGCAAAATAATGCTGTTTTTTCTTGAGTTTCTGGAAGGTCTTCAGCAGTGAGCTAAAGTGGTCAATTACAAATACAACCCATACCTATAGCATATAATACTCTTTGTTATTTATAGAAAGCACACCTTTGTTATTTAATGTACTAAAATATTCATGGAAATTAGCTAAGCCTCATGTGGTCTTTTTTTATAATACGATAGTATGAAGTACTTTCCACTGGTTATGGGACCATTTTATTTCAGATTGATATTTTTTTTAATTTTTATTGTATTCAATTACTTTTTTTAAGTAAATAACACATTATATGTGTACAAGGCAAGTCTTTCAGTTACATAATTTTACATTCATAATGAACATGATGAATGAAGGAAATATTTGTTGAATAAAACAGGAAATTTTATTGCATAAAATTTTCTCATATTTTTAATACCCACCAAATAATTGTTATAGCTATGTTGTTAGAGATGTAAACAAACTTAATTGTTAAAAATAGATTGAATTATATTTGTATTTATTATGCAAAAGCTATTGAATTGTGATTGCTTGTATTTATGAATAAATTTTGTTACTCCATTATATTTTTCACACAGTTCATGATTAAACATTTTAAAAATCAAATTTTTAATTTTGTCAATCTTTTTAAAGAAATTTGTATATATACCATGTATACATTTGTTAAATAATGGTTATAAAATGTCTCAAAAGTTTGTTAGCATAATATTTTTATGAACTTGTTAATGGTCAGGTTGCAAAAAAACAGTGTTCAGATGCTGAGCTTTTTATATATCAGATTTGACTTTTAGGCAGGTTTGAGTCAAATTATTTGGATGAGCAGTTTGAGTCTGAGAGATGTTGTTACCTTTGAGTTCTGTGTCAAATGTAATTTCATAAGGTTTGCAAAGCCAAAATGAGGCAGGGATACAGTTTGTCCTACATAGGTGGTGTTTCCCTTTACAAAAAAATCTAAAGTTGGAAACAAAGTTTAAAATTGACTATTTAGAGCTTACTGCTTAGTAGTTCAGAGTCAGTGTGTAGTTGTAAAATGAACTATATATAAGTTCTGAGTAATATCATTCTCAAACCTTCTCAGCAGTAATATCTTACTGCAGATCCAGTTTGAGTAGGAGATGTTGCTGCTGCACAGTTCCATGTCAGATATCAGAACTTAATTTGATTCAGAGGTTTTGATGAGCATATTTAAATCAGAGATACATGTATTACTGCATTGCAATTCTGAGAAGAAATTAAAAACTCATTGCAAATTATTTAAGATGGTAGTATTCAAAAAGAATTGAGGAATCGTGAAAAACATGATGAAAAAACTGAAAAAAAGTTATTAGGATATTTATATAAAAGAATAATAATTGCATTTGTTTTCATTTTTTCTTTCGGTAACAAGAGCTATGCTTGGCATAGTATGTAATGTTAACTACCCTTAAAGATATAGTACCTTCAATAACACATAATGTTGTACTAAACCACCAAAAAAAAGTTCATGAGTTCACAGGAATAAAAAATGATGGTTGTTGATCTCTACCAAAGTACTGTTGCAATGTCATATTAATATGGTTAATTTAAAAGGTTTTATACTGACCATATTTTGAAAACTTTATAAAATTCTTTACAAATACTACATTACTACTTATTTAATTCAATATAGAAAAACATTGATTAAAGGGACTAACACTTTTGCTTTGAGCCAGCCATTGTTCTATGAATTGCTGGAAATATTAATGAGACTTTTTTTTTATTTATTGTAGATGTTTTAACAATTTAAAAAAAAAAAACAACACTTTTCTGACTAAGGTTTGTGTCTTTTGACATCTGATGTTTAAACTTGTTTTTATATGAAATCTCGTCCTATCTAGGAAAAAGCTGTATTGCCACGTTTTGGAAATGATTATTTAAACAGATTACTTAAGTTTGTATATCCTGCATAAAGAATAGGAAATTAAGTACTTAATACTTTCATCTGAAGTACATTTAAGGAAATAAAATCTAACGGAGTGTTTTATGAGAAATAATTATATTTGAACCACTTTTTCTCAAAGGCTTTTGAATAGAGATATGAATATAACAAATGAAGATGTTTAAAGTGTAAAATCTGAGTTAAAAGAACTCTTTAAAAAGTAAAATATTGTGATGATGTTAGTGACTAGAGATGTCTTCCTGTTGATAAGGATACAATGTGATCGCACACCCTGCCATCTGTTTCCTGATGACAAGGTCAAAAGGTCATCAACATTGTTATGTGGCAGCCAACTTACTGAAAAATGTTTTGAAATAGGTTAATTAAAGTATTTATATTAAATAATATAAAATAAAGAAAAGCAGAATGTTTTTTTCCTGAAGATTTTTGTCTTATATTTTGCTTGCAACTGAAAATGACACAAGTGATAAACTACTTTCTTTCAAGATTTCAGTTCTATTTTGTTGTTTTTTTTTACGATTCCTCAATTCTTATGAATAATACCATTTTAAACAACTTGCAATGAGTTTTTTAATGTCTTTTCAGAATTGCACCTTATGAAATACATGTATCTCAGGTTTTTAAACCAGAATTGCCTAAATCTCAGGTTAAACCATGCTGTTTTCACCTGAGACATATTATTTCCAACACCTAATAAATGCTTAAATTTTTTAAAATTTGCTGGATAAAACCCCAAACTGACCTGGCCATTGGCAAGACAATTGGTTAACACTTGTTGGAGTTTGAGTGTAGAGGATGAGATTGCTTCATGATGTGATTGGATACTTCATGTAATTTTGGACAATTGACCAATTGGGTCAAACAAATTTCCGTTAAGCTTGGATAACTTTTAGAAGAAAAAAGATCAAATTTCAAATGTAACTGAATTTTAGTTCCTTCAGGTTAATGTTTTTTTGGTAACAGTCAAACCAAAATGTTAAAATTTAATTACTGCTAATTATTTATTGACCTAAGTTAATAATTATGATCAAAACAAATACTGATATATTTCACTGGATTGACAAGTTAAGTGGTATATAGTTCAAAAAGTTCAAGCAACAAGATCATTTATATCTTCCCTCCCAAAGTTTGAAGAGGGCTAAAATGAATTTTCTCTTTTTGAGAAGTTGCATAATGTTATTGTACTTTAAATGATTTTTTGGAAAGTTATTGTAACTTGAAAAAGTTGCATAATGCATTTTGCACTTATACTGAATTTAAAAGTCACTGTACTTGGTTAATCTTATAAAAAATCCTGTTCGTGTCTACAGCAATATAACTGTCCAAATATTAGGACAACCATATTTGGACATACAAATTTATTAAGTTGGAAGCTAAGTATCTGAAGTTAATTCATGTTAAAAATCCATTGAAAATAATATTAGATAGATTTGATAGTTTTAAGTAAGAAGAAAAACGAGGGAACAAAACTATCAATTTCAATGTGTAACAGTATAAGAAACTAGAATAAAATATTATGTTTTAGATATAAGCGTTACATAGTTTTTGTCGAGCCTGCGACTTTTGTCGCAGAAAGCTCGACATAGGGATAGTGATCCGGCGGCGGCGGCGGCGGCGTTAGCTAACTTCTTAAAAGCTTTATATTTTAGAGGGTGGAAGGTCTGGATGCTTCATACTTTGTATATGGATACCTCATGTTACGAAGTTTCCGTCAGTCACATGTCCAATGTCCTTGACCTCATTTTCATGGTTCAGTGACTACTTGAAAAAAAAGTTCAGATTTTTTGTAATGTTAGATTCTCTCTTATTATAAGTAATAGGATAACTATATTTGGTATGTGCGTACCTTGCAAGGTCCTCATGCCCGTCAGACAGTTTTCACTTGACCTCGACCTCATTTCATGGATCAGTGAACAAGGTTAAGTTTTCGTGGTCAAGTCCATATCTCAGATACTATAAGCAATAGGTCTAGTATATTCGGTGTATGGAAGGACTGTAAGGTGTACATGTCCAACTGGCAGGTGTCATCCGACCTTGACCTCATTTTCATGGTTCAGTGGTTATAGTTAAGTTTTTATACGACCGCAAAAATTGAAAATTTTTTGGTCGTATATTGGTATGACGTTGGCGTCGTCGTCGTCGTCGTCGTCGTCGTCGTCGTCGTCCGGCGTCGTCTGGCGTCGTCCGAAGACACATTGGTTTTCGCACTCTAACTTTAGTTTAAGTGAATGGATCTCCATGAAATTTTACCATAAGGTTCAATACCACGAAAGGAAGGTTGGGATTGATTTTGGGGGTTATGGTACCAACAGTTAAGGAATTAGGGGCCAAAAAGGGGCCAAAAATAAGCATTTTTGTAACTTCCAGACAATAACTTGTGTGTAAGTGTATGGATCTCTCTGACATTGTACCACAAGGTTCCATATCACAAAGGGGAGGCTGTAATTGATTATGGGGGTAATTGCCTCAAAATTTTAGGAATTAGGGGCCAAAAAAGGGGCAAAAAACAAGCATTTTTCTAGTTTCATGACAATAACTTGTGTGTAAGTGTTTGGATATTTCTGAAATTGTACTACAAGGTTCCATATCACAAAGGGAAAGCTGGAATTGAGTTTGGGGGTAATTGCCCTAAACGTTTAGGAATTGGGGGCCAAAAAGGGGCCAAAAATAAGCATTTTTCTAGTTTCCAGACAATAACTTGTGTTCAAGTGTATGGATCTCTCTGAAATTGTACTGCAAGGTACCATACCACAAAGGGAAGGCTGGGATTGAGTTTGGGGGTGATGAATCATCAGGGGGTTCAAAAAATTTGGAGGGGGGGGGGGATTTTTTTTTTTTTCTTTTTTTTCTTTTAAAATTTTCCATTTTAAGTTGGTTATTTCTGATTTATATTTAAAAGCAAATAATAATGATATGGTAGGAGATACACACCAAACAGGATGTGTAAATTATTATATATAATAAGTATTGTGCAATAGCAAGAAATTTTCAATTCCACAGTATTGCACAATAGCAAGAAATCTTCAATTGCACAGTATTGCGCAATAGCAAGAAATCTTCAATTGCACAGTATTGCCCAATAGCAAGAAATATCCAATAGCACAATATTGCGCAATAGCAAGAAATTGTCAATTGTACAGTATTGCGCAATATCAAGAAATATTCAATTGCACAGTATTGTGCAAAAGAAGATACTTCGTATAAATTGCTTATTTCTTGATCAATTTCAATGGGGTTTTATTCTTGAATTCTTGGGGTTCTTTAATATGCTGAATCTTACCGTGTATTAAGTTTTTGGATTTTGGGCCCCGTTTTTAAATTGGTCCACATTGAGGTCCAAAGGGTCCAAAATTTAACTTTGTTTGATTTCATCAAAAATTGAACTATTGGGGTTCTTTGATATGCCGAATCTAATCGTGTATTTAGATTCTTAATTTTTGGTTCCGTTTTCAATTTGGTCTACATTAAGGTCCAAAGGGTCCAAAATTAAACTTAGTTTGATTTTAACAAAAATTGAATTTTTAGGGTTCTTTGATATGCTGAATCTAAACATGTATTTAAATTTTTGATTATGGGCCCAGTTTTCAAGTTGGTCCAAATCGGGGTCCAAAATTAAACTTTGTTTGATTTCAACAAAAATTGAATATATGGGGTTCTTTGATATGCTGAATCTAACCATGTATTTAGATTTTTGATTTTTGGGCCCCGTTATCAACTTTGTCCACATTGAGGACAAAAGGGTCTAAAATAAAACTTTGTTTGATTTCATCAAAAATTGAATTCTTGGGGTTCTTTGATATGCTGAATCTAACCATGTATTTAGATTTTGGATATTGGACCATAATAGGTGAATGTCCAATTTAAAATTTTTAAGTTCTTAGACCACATTCATTCTGTGTCAGAAACCTATGCTGTGTCAAATATTTAATCACAATCCAAATTCAGAGCTGTATCAAGCTTGAATGTTGTGTCCATACTTGCCCCAACTGTTCAGGGTTCGACCTCTGCGGTCGTATCAAGCTGCGCCCTGCGGAGCATTTTATTGTGTTTTGGTCTGTTTTTCTTATGCTGTATGCCATAGGTCTACTATATTTGGTGTATGGAATGATTGTAAGGTGTACATGTCTAGCGGGCAGGTGTCATCTGACCTTGACCTCATTTTCATGGTTCAGTGGTCAAAGTTAAGTTTTTTGAGTTTTGGTCCTTTTTTCTAATACTATATGCAATAGTTCAACTATATTTGGTGTATGGAAATATTTTATGATCTATTTGGCAGTCACACAGGTTTTATTTGACCTTGACCTCATTTTCAAGGTTCATTGCTCAGTGTTAAGTTTTTGTGTTTTGGTCTGTTTTTCTTAAACTATAAGCAATAGGTCAATTATATTTGTTGTATGGAAGAATTGGTAGCTGTACATGCCTGCCTAGCATGGTTCATCTGACCTTGACCTCATTTTCATGGTTCATTGGTCAATGTTTAGTTTACTTGGTTAATGTTAAGTTTATGTGACAGTTGTAATAAAGCTTTATATTTAGGACTATCAACATAATATCAATGATTAGTAAAGAAGGCGAGACATTTCAGCATGTGCACTCTTGTTATTAACACATTGAGAATACAATCCTTGGTCAAGAAAAAAGTCTACAATGACTCATGTCAATTTCATTACATTACTTAACTCTTGAAAAAACTGCTATACACTTTTCAAATATGGCAATTCTGTGTATTGCTGCCTTAACATTATAAACAAAATCTTAAGATACAAAATTAATTCAATGCACAATATGTTCATTTCAGAAATTATATTTCTTATTTGCTTTGCTCTGTGTAAGCTTTTTGTTAAGTAATTGCGAAAAAAAATAGGATCTAATTTTAATTATATGGGACCATTGCATTTTTATTTGACATTCTTTTACACATTTTTATTAGCTTTATTATTGTTGGTACAATTTTATAAATGTTACTCTTAATTATATGTCACATAGTATAGAAAATAAGGTGCTATTAGTAGATGTCATGTTTTATATATGTGATCAGGTATATTACTATGCAGACTCTAAAATGAATAAAAAGTCAATAATATATATGTATTATTTGTCTTTTTTTTAAACTCACCTGATGAAGTCACATATAATATAGTGATCCTCTTCTCATTTTTGGCAAAAAACTTTTGAAATATGATGGAACGTTCTATTATAAAAATGAAAATTATTTACTTTTCCTGATGATAAAAGAACTACTGTTTCACCGAACCTTTTGACATTTGAACACAGGGTATAAGACCGAAAAATATATGTACATTTTGATTTTCTTGTAATAGAAAATTATGTTTTTATTTTATTTTAAAAAATGGGTCTTTTCTGGTTTCCAAAGAAAAAGGTATTACATAACCAAATCTATAAATATATTTTATCTATTGGTCTCAGGTTTTATTCTTTGCTACTATTACCATAAAAAAAGTTGAGATTGACTTTGGCTTTAGTGGTTAAGGAGTTTATTGTTTTAGCCTGATGTCCCCTTAGGTGTCTCTTGACCCCGACGGAACCCTAAATTGAGAAAGTCAATCAGGTTTATCTTGCGTTGGGGTACAATCCTCGTCCCCAAGCCCCGCCCTCAAAGGGGAACATCTGTGGTTGTGCAGGAAGTATGAAGTACACAACTTGTATTTGACAGGATACCACACCCATATAGCAAGTACTTTGTCAATCAATATAGCTGTCAAATGCAATTTCCAAACGAATATATAAAAACTGTGTCGGCGGATCCTGGTATATGCTTGCTTATTGGGGGTGGAGTCTTTCACTGGAATGATCCCCTACGCGATCAGACCATTAACTTTTAAATTAGTTTTTTTGCTGCTTCTCGACCAATCACCTTCACGTGGCTTTCAGGAGTTAAGACCAAAACCTTGGATTGCTTCAGAATAATGTGTCTAGGTATGGTGATGTATGTTACCTTGTGGCTGAACGTGTTAAGGACAAAATAGTTCGTCCAGTAATGAAAAAAAAAGATTAGTTTAAATCTTATTTACATGGTATCGTCGTGAATATACTTATTATTGACTTTGAACTAGCTTTCAGTAACTGCAAGTACTCTTAGGTCTGTAATTTGTGTTTTTTGTCTTTTTTTCAGTTGCGTTGTGTGCTTTGTGTCTATCTGATGAGTCACGCGAATCCATCTGATGTTTTACAGGTTTTTATACAACCGCAAAAACATTTTGCGGTCGTATATCGTCGTCGTCGTCGTCCGAAGACACATTGGTTTTCGCACTCTTACTTTAGTTTAAGTTAATGGATCTCTATGAAATTTTACCATAAGGTTCAATACCACAAAAGGAAGGTTGGGATTGATTTTGGGGGTTATGGTACCAACAGTTAAGGAATTAGGGGACAAAAAGGGGCCAAAAATAAGCATTTTTGTAACTTCCAGACATAACTTGTGTGTTAGTGTATGGATCT